TATACGTTGCCCAGGGTGCACCACGTGGAGGTAAGTCTATCGCACACCCCAATTTTCGAATATTAGAGCGGGTATTTTGCTCAGTTTTATGTCCATTGGCCGGTTTAGGTTTTTGGTAAATCAATGCCGCTATTAGTATTTGTACTAACCGAACTGTTTGGCTTTTATTAACCTGCAGCGTTGCAATGTTAAAGGCGGTAATAAAACTTCAATCAAATCTTTTGAACTTGTACAAATTTTGGCTATTCTGTGATCGGAATGTGTTGAGTAGCTTGTGTAATGTGGAATTGAGTATATTACGAATAGCTATTCTTCATGAGAAGATCTTCCTAAATTTTGCTCTTTTCATTTTGGGCTCTCAAGGAGTTGCTTCATTGTGTGATTTTGTATCCTAATGGCTACTGGCAATATTTTGTCCACAACAAGAACGTAGGCTCGATCTGAAGTTCGGACTAATAGACTACGGCGAATATTTGCTTATTCCATATATGCTATTACTCCTTCAGACCACCAGGAGTATACGCCTCTTCGTCTAATCCTCGAGCCAGACCTTACCGACCACCCTATAATTTCACGGCATCTGATACTGTTTCTGAGACTGCTTCCAACAGTCATGGTTTCGAGGACGTGTTCAAACGAAGAAAGAATTTCCGGAATGACCTTGTTGGGCGCGAACAGACTGTTTTTGGTGATATCTTAAAAGGTGAGTGCATTTGAATGTCACCGCAACTTAGCAGTCCTACTAGTGCAGAAGGATATAACTTCAGTGTTTCCATTGTGGTGTTAAAACATTTGCTATGCCATCGGCGTTTTAATTTCTCATATTTCACCAAAATCCGTATAAGTGGAGAGTGCATTCGTAAATCTTTTTGAAGCTGAAAAGCAGTATTGGTAAAAGATGTATGAAGCAATGGATTCTAGGCCTAAATGCTGGAGATTTGAAAGTGGCGAATAATTGATGGGTGACATTAATGGGTTCTGTATCAGCATCACTCAATGCTTAAATCTATCATCTGCAATTGTTAAATGGATTTTTCTTTAACAGTGACAGGTCTGAAATCAACTACCACTATCCAACCGAGAGTATCATCAATCTACAATTCCACGTTTTGGAAGAACAGTCTGAACGTCCCCTATAGGCAGAATAATCATCTCATTGAAAAATACACTCCGCTCAGCTCTACAAATAACCCAGCTATTGGATCAAGCTTGAAGATTGAAAATCCCATCAGGCCATATGTTAATAAAGCTACGTCTTCAACAAACACGTCTGACATTCCCTTTGGCCAAAATGCACGTACTATCCATAATTTTACTCATCTTCCCTCGATTGGCCTTGGAAAATCATCTAGTAATTCTCTGTTTTTATTCGTTTTATTTACTATCTATGCTACATTTTGAGTTGGCTGTTGTCACCAATTCTGCTGCTCCTGCTAATCAGTTAGTTCTAGTTCTAGCTTTCCTTCTGTACTCAGGGTGTTGAGAATGACACGGGCGATCAATGACACGAAGTCTTATTTTCGGTCATTAGTGGGATTCACTGAATCCGCGTTCTGGTGATCACCAGCCTAGGAGTTCCTTATATTGGTTTTTGACATGAATTTACGACGGTCCACTGCTTTAGGAAAACAGCGGGTATCTCTAAAATGGTGGGTATAGCTTAGTGATAATTTCGCAGTTGATTGACGGTGTTGTCACCCCCCACAATTATCCTGTAGAAGCAAGAAATTGAAAATCTAGAATTTGCTCGCTTTGCATAATCTTTACCAAATATGCATGCACTTAGAGATTTCCATATACACCTCTGTGGAACGCCAACCTTCCATGCCCACAAAGAAATTTTGTCACCTGTTTTTTTGTTATAGTACTTCTTATTAACGATTTTCTCGAGCGGCATGTCAACGACTTGTCTTATCATTTTCTCTTCAGGTAACAAATCTACCGAACTCCCAATTATTGACAATTCAATCAGCAAAATTTCAAGCTTCCGGAAGTCGTCTGATTTCTTGGGGTCACTTTCCATTGCTTCGAACGCAGTACATAACTTCCTTAACGCCAAGTCTAATTGGTCAGCCAAGTGAGTCCTTTGATTTGTCACCCCTCCCACCCCCATCCCATGTTGATTGCTTGTCTCCTTCAACTTAAATATTCTCTATTTTAGATATATCAAATCGCTTTGACATCCACTCCCCCCCCCATTCAGTATTCATTTAAGAAATTTCTTCAAGTCCTTCCTCGGTAGCCTTAAGTGTAGGCTCTCAACACTTTGCTCCGTCCTTCATCCTCTTCAATTTCAGTTTATGTATGCTGACATGCACTACTTTCTTTTGCCTTACTTCTCAATGGCCCAAATTTATGATCGAATATACTACTTTTTAAATTTCGCATATATGCACATATGTATATCTATTTCGATTTTATCTTGGACGGTTCTTGTAAATATAACTTGTGATCAGCCTATTATTTGTCTTTTCATACGTGAATAATTTGATTTCTGCTCTATTGAATTTTAGCTTGACGGGCATAGGAGAGTGATGGTGACAGTGTACGTTTTAAAACTTCTTTTAATTTATTCCCCCCCCCTCCCCTTCCTCCTCCAATTCGAACACTTCCATTAACCTCGAAATTCGTCTATTCATCGAGAAGAAGATTTGATGTTCTTGTTGCTCCCCCCCCCCTCCAACTGCTCATTTGTTGCAATTATACACAAAATGACAGTTGCATAAGAAATTCCTAACGGGCAGGAATTTAACTTGCAAAATTCTCAGGCAAAAATGCCTCTTGAGCTCACTGCACAACCGACTTGCTGTATTTCCTTAGGTCAGCTGTATGAAAAAATTTTCCTGATAACCGTTTAGCAGAACAAATCGTTTTAAGATTGTTGTTATCTTGATTGCTTGCAATCAGCTGTCCAATGATTTTCAATAATTTGATATTTTTATCAGAACAAAGAACAGAAGGTTCTATGCATCTATGACCGATTTTGTCTTAACATGATCGTCTACTAGGTCACAAAGGTCACCCTTCTATGCACATCAGTACACACCCAATGATTGGAGTGATTAGCCCCTCTAGCCAAGTGCGGTCAAAAAGGGGTAGGGGTTAGGTGAAGGGATTCGACTTCTTCGTCTGGTGCGCTGAGATGAGATTTCCTCAATGGACTTGGGGTTACGAACGTCTATTTTATTGATTGGGCATATATATATGCATATACTTTAACTCTGTCTCAAATAATTCTTCTTGATCCCTTTCTCTATTCCATTCATCCTACAAGCTTCCAAGTATTTTGTACTTTCAAGATATTTTTTATCCCTGTCCCTTAAATTTTACCACCTTTTGTAACTCATTGACTGTAAATGAGTTTTGACACCTTCCTGTGTATTTTCATATGGTACTTTCTAGTCAGCGCCTTTATTTAAATAAAGAGAATAATCAGTTTTATTCGCTGTCTTCTTTTGTATGGTTGTGGTTCTATGATTTTCTATTAATTTACTTTGCTTATTTACTTTTAGAATGGCGGACTCAGAGCTTGCGCCTGATGATGTAAGATTAAAGCTTTTAAAGATGTGTTTTATTCAATTGTGTCTGGCGTATTTGTATGGCGTTAGTGTGATCATTCTTACCATCACCTATTAGAATGTGCGGTATTTTCTAAAGACCAGCCTATGAATGCATGTCTATGAAAGCACGAAAGGTGGATGAGTGAAGAAACAGTTATGAGCTTTTCAAAGGTTGGGTTT